TGGAGGGAGCTAAAGGTGAATGAATCAATTCACACACATACATACACACACACAAACAAACAAACAACAACAACAAAAAACCGGGGGGAGGGGGGGAGAGGAAGATATAACAACCACAATTTTTTTTTTTGAAGTTCTTACAACAAGCAAATGGAGGGGACACACTTGGGTGGGAGAGGGGAGAGGGAGGAGGGAGGGAGGTTTCGGTGATGGGACATAATAATCAACTACATTGTATATTGAAAAAATAAAAATAATAAAAAAAAAAAAGAAAGAACGTAGACTTTGCAAAGAAAAAAAAAATTTCTAAGGGTATTTTCTGATGGGCAGCATTTAATTTTAAGTTACATGTACATAGCTACAAAAGTCTAGTGGTGCTAGAAGAGCCATAGTAAAAAGCAGCTCTCTTCTGCCTCCCATCAAATCCAATTCCTTAGAGGCAACCCTTTCTAACACTTTCAACTCTTTTAGTTACACCCTTGTATTTTTTTAAATACCTGGGCAGACATTTCTTAATTTATATATTTTAGGTATTATCTATTGATTTTCCTGAATGCAAGATGCGGATTTACACGTTTATAAGCCACCTCCCTAGTTCCTTTCTCTACGTTCTCCCCAAATACCCAAATCACAGATTGTTGATTATATTGAAATTCAGTACTTATATTTTGAGGACTGTGTATGTATTATTCAGTAATGAACCAAGTAGTAAAATCTAATTGTATTTTCTTTTTTTGTATTTTATTTGTTTCTCTAGAATCAATAATTAACTATTTTTAAAATTTCCTTTGTTTTCTGTGTACCTGTCGTGAATTCCAAATTCTCTAACACAACTGTAAAACTCTTCTCAAAAATTTCCCCAACATTAAACATGTCAGGTGATCTACAGTCACTTTTTGTCCTCTTGGGGGGTCTTCTCCAGCCCTCCGCCTTTCTGTTCCATCCACACTGGTTCTTCTCAGGGCCCTGCATGGCTCTTGTCTTGGGTCCTCCCTCTGCCATTATTGCAGGGACGTCCTTTTGACACTCTTTGGTATCACATTCCCAAATTTTGGGATCCCATGATACTTCTTTCTAGGTCTGCACTGTCATTTTCCTGGAATACGTTTTCAGATAACTTGTTGAAAAAAGGGGTGTTTGAGGTTAACTTTCCAAATCCTTACTCTTCTGATGAGTCATTATCCTACTTTCACACTTAACTGAGGAACTCCGGGAAGAAAGTTGTCACGTTGTTAGGATTGCTGCTGAGAAAGCCAACGCTCTCTGACGACCACGCCTTGTACGTAACACATATTTTCTCTCTGATACATTCAGGATCTTTCCTTTAACTCCCTTAATTTAAATTTCATATGATTGCTTTGATATGGATCTTTCCCCCACCTCAGGTCTGAGACTTCAGTAATTTCTCTGATCCCACCTTCTCAAATGCCTATTAATTTTAGATCTCTATATTTCTCTTGCTCATTTTCACTACTAGTGTTCCACTTCCTTGCTCATTTCCTCGGCTTTATTTTCAACACTGCTATTGTGTTTTAATTTCAGAGATCATGTTTTTAATTTCCAAATATTATTTCTTATTTTTGGGTAGTCCTTTTTTTTAAAAATAGCACTTTGTTCTAGTTTTTTTGGACACAATGTGTCAAATCTTTTTACCTCTCTAAGAATATTAATTTAACTTCCAAAAGTTTCTTCTGCTTTCTGAATTGTCTCTGTTTCTTCTGAGATGCCCTATCACCCCTCACCCCCAATTGTTAGTTTGGGGCTCCTTCTGTCATGGGTTTGTGACATTACCTTAAATGGCTAGTGAGACTTGCCTATCCGTTCACGAACAGTGAAGTGCTGGGATGCTGACTGGAAGCTGTGGGGTGTGTGTCTAGGGTGGTGGAGCATTTGTTGATTATTAGGCTTCATTGCACCATGGAGAGCTCCCTGTCTCATTGAAAGGTTCCCAAGTGGCAGTATCTGTGGCTTTTTTTTTTCCTTTTGGTTGCAGAACATTCAATTTCTTGAGAAAACAATTCTCTGGTTTTCTCATGAGGAATACATGTCTGGTGGTCAGGGCTGTGGGAGCTGAGAGGATGGTGAAGGGGGAGTTCAACTACGTTAAGTAGATTTCCCCTTCTTTACTCTGTTTTTATTAAGGAGTTTCACCCCATTTTCTTTGGTGCTTGGTTTCTGGAGCGTAAACCTCCCACCCTCTGCTTGTTAGAACAGGACAGTCACCGGCAGGGCCGGAGGAAGGAACTGGGAATCTGAGCAACCCTCACACCGACTCCAGCCTCCACTTCGGTTCGGAGCTGCCGACTCCAGTGCCTGAGCCTTGGCGTTCCCAGCTTGCTGCTCACCCGCCTTCCACAGCCTGGACTTGGGTTTTCCTCAACTGTCAGGAATGAAGCGGCTGAACTTGTCTGGTGTCAAAGTTCCCCCACGAAAAAGGAAGGGAAAGAGGTAACAGAGGGAGGTTACAATGTCCATGTGAGCCAGGCAAGAACCCTGCTGCCTTGGCGGTGGTGGCACCTCCAGGGAGCAGAGCTCGATGGGGTGGTGGGAGGGAGGGGTGACAGGAATGAGTTCCCGTGCCTGCTCCAGCCTGTCTGTCACTTGGCAGAGCTGCCTTGAACTGGTTCCACGTCTCGGCTCTGGAATCAGACGATCTGGCCCCCATTCTGGCTATATCACCTTAAACCGACTGGGAGGCACTGGGCAGATTACTTGACTTTCCTAAATTTCTATTTTTTTCATTTGTACAATGGAATAACAATGGAACCTCTTTTATAGGAAGGGTATGGTGCGAATTATGGGAGGTAGTCCATGAAATGCACCGGGCAGAGTGCTGAGCACAAATAAGCATAAATAAATGTAAAACTCACTACTACACTGATGGCTTTTGGTGTCACTCATAGTTGTCCTATCCAAGGGCTTGGCCAAGGAGTGGGGAAGATGGGAAAGGGGTCCCTTTTCCTTAAAGGTGTGAACAGTAAGACTACACACCCTGAGCCTGCTCTGCCTCAGGGTTAATTCTTTGAGGGAAGAGCAGCAAACAGTGGCTGGAGGCTGAGAGCCACGCCTGTGGCTGCGACAGCTGCAGCCAGCTGACAGCCCAGTGGCCCCCCACGTGGCTCCTCATCGCTTCTTTTTTCCTCTGCTCCCACTCATGGCTCTCAAAACCGTGCTCCCTGTTTCTTCATCTCCTCACTGGTGTTTTAAAAATCCCATTCAGAACACACAAATGACAGTTACTGTTGAACTCTGACAATATGTTATATGGTTTTGTAGAATAGCTATTAAACGAAAGTCTGATGAAAGGCAGGGTGACCAGATGGCTCAGTAGGTGGAGTTACCCAAACAATAGAAATCATTTCATTTGAGCAAAGGTTGACCAGAGGCCAGTGCAGAGTAGACTGAGTGGCAGGGACACGTGGGGAGAAGCTGAGACTTGATGTGCCAGCCCCTGCTGTCTCCCCACAGAGGGGACAGAGGTGAGCAGGAGGGGGAAGAGGCAGTGGTGGAGGGTTTGTGTTTGGCTCATGGGGTGAAGATGGCATGAGGGCGCCCTGGGTTGTAGTTTGGTGGGGAGTGTGTTTGCTGGGGTGGCACGGGGTGCCAGTGGTCTTGTCCATTTTCTCCCAATTTAGTAATTTCCTCAGGCCACTAAATGACCCTGTACTGGGACTGCACGGAGAAGCGTATCTATCTATAGCTTCTGCTTTAAAGAGACTAATTACTCTGAAAATTATTAGTGACCCCACAGATAGAGATTTGAGGATTCTTTGAGTTATGCAATGAGCCTTCTATTGTTTACTATGGGCTGGGTGCTGTTTACAACAATAAACCAGATGGCTTCATTTGCATGCAGATTTGACTCTATTTGTAGAGGTTTCCTTATGGGTAGGAAAAAAATCACTTCCTTAATTAAAGCTTTTTGCACATTCAGGTTAGGGAACAGTAGCTTTCTTCAGCTCCAAGCCTCATTTTACAGGGCAAGCTAAATCCAAAATGAATGGTTGCAAGTTAAGATGCTGCCCTTGAGCTTGAGGCAGCTGCTCTTTCTGCAGGAATTTCATCCTCTCCAGCAAACCTTTTCCACCCAAAAAGATAATACTGCAAACTTATGAGAGGAGTCAGCAATATAAGTATTTCACCCTGTGTCTCTCTTTGACTTGGTTCCTTTGGGCTAGAATGGGGATGGATCCCATGGAGGAAAAGAATATGGTGGTGAAACCCTTAAGGTCGTGATGCTGGGGTGCCCCCTGCACTGCCGTGAGCTGACTGATAGCTGGATTCTGGGGGGATGCGGTAAAACTGGCTTATTCTTACTTGGTTATGGACACTATCAGGTATTGAACCCACTCATGGAGCATTTAAATGTAAATGGTACTTACTAGGTACTTTTGTTTTATTTTGAATGCTTGACACAGTTGTGTGTATTTGGATGTTTGGAGGGTGGGGAGCAAGTCTAAGTTTTCTTAAGAAGCTTTTCAGACTCTCCACATTAGGCCCCTAAACTCCCTCAGACTTTCTTTATTGGGGCTATTAGTTATGTGTCAGCTATCCTAGGTATATTGGGGTTCGAAGTTAGCAGTTAATAACTGGAAGTGGAGAAATGAATAACTAGGTGTAATGGAAACTTTTAGATTTCCTGTTCTTCACTCAAATTTCTGTCTCGGGTAAGCCCCAAAGGTTTCTACATGATTGATTCCAGAGAAGGAAGGACTAGCAAGACTGGATCTCTTGCACCCTGGCAAATAGGGGATTGGAGGAAGATCTGTATGATTTAGCAAAAATAAAACAATGTAACATTTCTTGCATCTGGAGGTTGTAGAACAAATTTATGTCCACTCCTTGCAGGTTGATATCAGATGCAAGAAATACTGCATAGTTTTATTTTTGTTACAGGGAAAAGAACTGTGGTTACTAGAGGTGGGAAGGGGGGGGGGGTGGTGAGGGGATAGTGAGAAGCCGTTTAATGGACATAAAATTACAGCTAGATAGGAAAAGTATGTCCTACTGGTGTATAGTCGACCCAGGAATCTATAATTAACAATAATTTACTGCATGTTATCAAATGACTAGAAGACAGGAGATCAAATGTTCACAAAGAAATGATTTTGCAATAATTCCCTGATTAGATCATCACATATTGTAAACATGTATTGAAATTATTTAAAAAAAATTTAACAAATAGTGTAATACGCTGACGTGGCCATAGGATGGCGGCTCTGGGGATTGCCTAGCTTTTAATGCTCCTATGTCCCAGGGATGGTACATACACTTTCTTTTCTTTTCCTGAGCAATTTCACCAACTCATGATTTCTGGTACTTAGCCATAGGTTAGTGATTTCCAAATTTATTCATCCAGCTAGATTTCTACTATGAGTTTAAGATTAATATATACATTTCTCACTGGACAGCTTTACTGGTAGCTCAAACTCTAAATGTCTGTAAGTGAGCAAATGGTTCTTCCAAATTAACTCTACCTGCAGTGTTCTCCGCTATGGAAGGTACGGCTTTTCCCACTCTGCTACTCAAGCCAGAGGCTGGGAGTCATTCCTTGGTGTCCGGTCGGTCCCCAAGACGTTACTCCTGCATCTCCTAAATGCTCTGCAGAGTGTCCCCTCCTCTCCATTCCTTCTGCTGCCCTGGCTCAGGCCCTCGTCTCTTGTCTGGAAGCTGCGGCAGCCTCCTAACCTCTGCTTCCAGTGTGGGTGATCTTAAATCCATCCTTTACAAAGCCAATGGAGAAATCTATCTACAATGCAAAACTGACCATTTCAAATTTATGCATAACCCCCTAACAGTTCCAAATAGCCTGCAGAATATATTGCACCCTCCTTCACATGGCATATTAATCCCAGGCCTGCTTTCCCCTGCCCCTTACCCAGAATGTATCTCCAGCAACGGGCAGCTCCCCTGTTCCCACCACCACTGTGCGAGTGTTTATTTGCATTGTTGTCTCTCTCTGTTTTTTTTTTTTAAACTCTTTTAAAATTACTAAATCAGCA